ACATCTACATTATTGGAGTGAAGAGCCTTGAGGTCGAGGTCGACGCGAAGTACATCAAGGGCATGCTCAACAATCCGGACATACAGCCGAATAAGGCGATGAACGGGTGGATAGCCGCGATCTTGCTGTTCGACTTCAAGCTGGTGCACGTTCCGGGGGACAGACACTCTGGGGCGGACGGATTATCGCGCCGGAGGAAAGCTGACGAGGATCCCGAGGACAAGGGCGACCCGGAGGAATGGATAGACGAGGTGTGCGCCCTGACGATTCTCTGTTGCACATTATTCGGTGGTACCTACTCGATACTAACGGTACAGCCGGAGTGCATTTCGACCGTTGCAAACGGTAAAGCCGCCTCCGGCCGGAGCTGTGATTTCCTCGTTGCAAACAGGCCGGCCGGACTGGTTTCTAACAAGCCGGCCGAGTGTATCTCAAACCAGTTCAAACGGTCCGGCCGGTGTATCCCTAGGGCACCTATGTTCTGTCTGAACAGGGGGGCCATTTAGTGTCTTGCTGGCAATGGACCGGCCGGGCAATAAGGGGTTTTAATTATAACAGATCAACCGGGATACTCTTTCTCCTATGGTAACGAACTGGCCGGGCAATGGGATCCTTCATTTGTAACGGGCCGGCTGGAGTGCATAATTCAGCAGTTGCAATGGGCCAGCCGGAGCATATGCTCCCTGGCTAATAACAGACCGGCCAGGTTGCAGCATCTCTAGCTGGCAACGGAGTGGCCGGACCATTTTTCCACATTGATAGCAGGCTAGCCAGGCCATATAATCTAGCACTCCACACTGGTAACGGTCCGGCCGGGCAGTGGCACCATCCATTGGTAACGGTCCGGCCGGGCAACAGTATTGTGACCCAGTATTGGCTGGGCCAGTCAACAATAGACCATACTCCCTTAGAACAGCCTACTAGTAGCATGTATATGTCCACAGTGCATGCCCTATCACATTGCCTGAGCTGTTAGCTCACTGGCCAGCCATGCAAACACTGGCCGAGAGCATTCAAAAACCTTCGGCCTATTGTATTATGATACAGAGTGTGATTTGAATGATTGTATATGTAAGACCATCACTAATGGAGCCCAACATAGTGTTACCACATTTTAAAGGGGCTTAGTGAAGCTGCCACCAGCCAAATTAAATGGCCGGACATCTCAAAACATCGGCCGGGCATTTTAGTTCATTGGCCGAAGCTTTTAATTCATTGGCCGAAGCTTTTTAGGTGCTCGGCAAAAATGGCCGGCCGGTGGGCAAAACCGGCCGGGCTGTTGAATTACTATATGTGGAAATGTGGTATTGTCTGGGAGCCCTTCATTCGCAGAGTCTAGTATCAATTTCCTAGTTTCCAAGAACACATAGTTAGGCCAGGATATGCAAGACAAGATTTACTACTCACAGGCTTCTTTGCAAAACATGTTATTCAATTCCTGAAGCCAATATTCTTTGCCCACACTGTTTGACAATCTAGAATGTGTTATCACAATGCATAGAGTAGATCCCCAAAAGGAATAGTCTTATTCTTTGAAGCTGAATGCAGGACAACAAATAAGGGGTATACAGGTATGGTCTACATGTTGACTTCCTGCAGCTAATGTTCTTTCCAAACAGTGTTTTACCATCTAGAATAGTTCATTGATCCACAAGGAATCAGTCCTCCAAAGGAATAGTCTTATTCACACAAGCTGAAGGCAGCACAGAGTTAAGGTGAGGGTGGGTATATGGGTATACATGTTATACTGTGTTCACATCCTGAAGATGCTTTGCCCACAAGGTTTGGCAATCAAGAATGGCACAGAAACATCTACCCACTGTTGGTAATGGTCCGGCTGGCCAATCCTCATAGGAGATGGTCCGCCTGTGCATGACCCCCTTAACTCTGTACCACATTCAGCTCATGTGAATAAGACTATTCCTTTGGACGACTCACTCCTTGTGTATGAACCATTCTAGATTGTGAAACTGTGTTTGGAATGTAGATTGGCTGCAGGAAGTCAACATTGTTTGACATGTATACTATACCTTACCCCTTATCTCATGTTCTGCATTCAGCTTCGAAGAATAAGACTATTCCTTTTGGGAATCTACTCTATGCATTGAAATAACATATTCTAGATAGTCAAACAGTGTGGGCAAAGAATATTGGTTTCAGCAGTTGAATAACATGTTTTGCAAAGAAGCCTGTGAGTAAATCTTGTCTCGCATATCCTGGCCTAACTATGTACCTTTGGACACTAGGAAATCAATACTAGACTCTATGAATGAAGGGCTTCCAGACGTTACCACATTTCCACATATAGTAATTCAACAGCCTGGCCGGTTTTGCCCACCAGCCGGCCATTTTTGCCCACCAGCCAGCCATTTTTTGCCGAGCACCGGCTGTTTTTGCCGGCCGGTGAAGTAGAAGCTTCGGCCGGTCAATCCAAAGCTTTGGCCGGTGAAGAAAAGCTTCGGCCAATGAAGTAAAAGCTTTGGCCAATGAAGTAAAAGCTTCGGCCAATGAACTAAAATGCCCGTCCAATGTTTTGAAATGTCTGGCCTATTGATTTGGCCCTGTAGGGACAACCTGGCTAATTTTATGGCCAGTAAAGCAAAAACCTGGGTGAGTGAAATCTCTGGCCAGTTAATTTGGCCAGCCAGTGGGGCTGTTTTGTGTTTTGCAGCTTCACTAGGCATCCCTAAGTCATGGGAAAATTATGCTGTGATCTACTAATGATGGTATACCCTATAGGTGCATAATACATATAGTATTTCACTAGCCCCCAGGGGGCTGTGACCGGCTGGACCATTTGAAGCAGGACAACTCCTGACCGGCCGGCCTGTTCGTGGAGTCAGTTTGTTTAGGCTGGCCAACCCATTCTGGACCAGATAGACTTCACTCCGGCCGGTCCACTTGCAATGAAGGGATTTTATCCTGGCCGGAACATTTGAAGTGGTGGGGCCTGAGTCCGGCTGCTCTGTTTGCAACGTGGACCGGCCGGCCGCTCCGTTGCATGTGCTAACCCTGTCCTCCACCCGGCCTGTTTGCAGTGATGTTGTATGGGTCCGGCCGGACTGTTGCCTATCCAGCCGGTGTTGGAGCATACGGTCAGGGACGAGCTTGCAAGCTCGGCCGCAATAGTACCTCACCGAGAGGAGATAGGGGGAGGGTATATAATGAGGGGAAATTTGTGTATCTACCTCACGCGATTGCCCTTCGGGCATCGTCCGCGCCCGGGACACTCGCGCCCGTCGACCGTCGTTCCGCTTGTTCTCACAGCCGGACTGTTTACAACAGGTACATTACCCCGGCCAAAAGCCCGGCCGGCCTGTTGCAAGTGGTGCATTGTTGCTAACGGTAGACCCAGACTGCTCCGGCCGGAGGCGGCTCTACCGTTTGCAACGGTCGAAATGCACTCCGGCTGTACCGTTAACAGCGAGGTTTTCCACTGAATGGGCTCTCTGTTGGAATTCCAGCGAGCCAAGCTGCTGCCGGAAGGGACTGAGAGCTCGCGAGGAGGAGCGTGTACTACGTCTCGCTACGGAGGAGACCAAACCGGAGGTGGTGCAGATACCACGGCACAAGAAAGCGGAGGCATGGGACGCGGAGCTAGAACGGATACAGAAGTTCCTGGGCAACATGGAGCGACCGGATGACCTAGCTGATGAAGCGCTGTTCCACCGGTTTGTCCGCAAAGCCGGGCAGTTCTTCCTCCGGAAGGGACGGCTCTGGAGACGCGACCCGGAGGGAAAGCACAAGCGCGTGATCCGGAAGGAACGACGTCTGGAGCTACTGAGGCAGGCGCACAACGGTCTCGGGCATCGCGGGATGTATACAGTCCGGACGCGACTACTGGAACGATTCTGGTGGCCTCACCTTGATCAAGACGTGAAATGGTACGTCAGTACGTGCCACAAGTGCCAGTTGCGGAGTACGCAGAAGATCAGAATCCCACCGACGGTAGCGACACCACTAGGCCTTTTTCAGAAGGTCTATATCGACATGATGCACATGCCGAAGGCCGGAGGGTACTCGTACATCGTCCAAGCCCGGTGTTCGATGTCATCGTACCCGGAATGGAGAAAGCTCCGGAACGAGACAGCGCGGACGCTGGCCGCCTTCATCTTTGAGGAGATCCTATGTTGCTGGGGTGCGGTAGCTGAGTTTGTCATGGATAACGGGCCCGCGTTCATCGCGGCAATGGAGATCTTGTCGAAGAAGTACGGTATCAACCACATCAAGATCTCGCCGTACAATTCGCGGGCGAACGGCGCGGTGGAACGAAGGCACTTTGATGTGCGCGAGGCGGCCATGAAGCTCTGTGGAGGGAATGAGACCAAGTGGCCTACGGTCATCGATGCAGTATTTTGGGCGGAACGTGTATCTATTCAGAAGAGCACGGGGATGTCGCCGTACCGGATCGTGCACGGAGTGGAGCCAGTGTTTCCGTTTGACTTAGCAGAGGCGACATTCCTCGTTCCGGAGCCGGAGGGAGTACTATCGCAGGAAGAGTTCATTGCACAGCGCGCACGGGCACTACTGAAGCGGAGGGAAGATCTCAACGCGATACATGGGAAGGTGCTGACGGCGTGGTACAAGTCCGTGGAGCACTTTATCAAGAAGAACACGCACACAATCAAAGACTACAACCACGGTCCGGGAGATCTCGTTCTCGTTCGCAACTCGCAGATCGAGATGGAGCACAACCGGAAGGCGAAGAGACGGTACCTAGGACCGATGATAGTAGTAAGAAGAACGGAAGGGAGTTCGTATATCCTGGCGGAGCTGGATGGGAGCGTAGCGCGACACCAATACGCAGCATTCCGGGTGGCACCTTATAGAGGCCGGAGGGAGGGAAAGATCAGGATAGAAGACCTGCAGGAGTGGGACGAGTACTTACCGGATGAAAACGAGGAACTGGCCGAGCGGTTCACCATGAACGAGGCGGAGGAGGAGAGCTCAGACACGGAGGAAGAAAAGATCTAAGAAGAGGAGGCCGCGGCGCGGGCCCGTCAAAGAGAGACAGGAGGTGTCGGAGGGGACTGGTCTGGAGGAGGAAACGGCGGAGTAGGGAAGGAAACAGGGATGGACTGAAGGCGGGTGATGAGGAACACCATGCGCTGCTCCACGGTGGTTAACACGTCAAGAACGGCGGGATCAGAGGAAGAGGCGGCCAGCTCACGGACCCGGCGGGTCAGGGAGTCAGTATCGTGGGAGATCCTGGTAATGGAAGTGGAAAGGTCGTGGATGCAGATCCCGGTGTCGATCTGGTGGCGATCCAGCTGTTCGCGGAGGTCGGTGACGAGGTGAAGGGTGCGCTGCGCACGGTCCCACAGGTCGCGGTCGGAACCTTCGAAATGCAAGCGGAAGGCGAGGAGATCCTCAAGGAGGTGCTCTTGAAAGTCGGCAAACAGAGACTTGGAGCGCTCGGCATGGTTCATGAGGGCGTTGGTACAGCTCTCGAGGGTGCGGAGCTGCTCGTCAACAGACAATCCCCGGAGGGAAGGTTGACGGACATGTACGTTCCCTGACGGAGGCCCTGAAGGGGCTAAGAAGGACGCGGCGATGGATATGCCAGGTGGACGCCGAGGCGGGCGTTCCGGGGAGTACAGAGGGGGCCGGAGAAGGTTAACACGCACTGGGCGAAATCATAAGACAGCGGGGGTGACGTACCATGGCAAGGGTGAAGAAAACGGGAAATACGGGCGCGCGGAGGGAGTGAGGAGGGACCGGAGGAAGGATAGAAGTACGAAGGGAGGAAGGGGAGGGGAGGGATCAGAAGACCCGGAAGGATAACATGTGTTGGACGCAAGGCGGAGGGGAGGGGGGACCAGATGGTGCGGATCGGAAGGGGGGACACGGAAGACGGGAAGCAGGAAGATCACGAGGCGATACACGGCGATCTTATGGAAGAAATACTGGGGAGGAAGCTAGAACGATTGATGGCCTCACGGAGTCAAAACGGGGGGAGGGGTACCGAGGGCATGGGGAATGAAGAGGACGGCAACGACGTCAGATTTACCTGGGGAACGATAGCAGAAAATGTGAATTGCAGGACAGCGGGGACACAGCAACGAGTATACATGTCTACGGACGGCGGGTACCTCTATGCATTCTCCTCGGACTCCGGGTCATCACCACCCGGTAGCGGCATGTCCTCATCCTCCTTGACATCGTCGACCCCCTCCCGCCCACCGGAAGGCTCGTGGTCCTGGGACGCCTTTGAGAATCGGGCGGTGTAAAGAGCCTCAGCTCGAGCGGCGTCGGTCCTGAGCCTCCGGGCACGGTCCCGTATGGCGCCAGTGCGGGGAAGAGGGGGAGTGGGACGGGAAGACGGACCGGGAACAGGAGGCGCGGCGGGAGTGGAAGGGCCAGGCTGATCATCCCGGAATGCGCTGAGAAGGTTGCGGGGGACGTTGCCGTGAACTCGTCCCTGCACGGAAGTGCGGAAATCGTAGCCGCGTGCTTGGGACCGAGAAATGAGCGGGTGAGGACCAATGTACCACATCTCAAAGGGACCCTTATCTGCGAAACGGAGTAAGTCGGACGTGGAAGGGGGTCATCGGAACCAAGGAAAGAGGCGTACCGAGCGTCCGGAGGGAACACCGTGCCTTGCTCCGAGCGCAGGGGGCACACTGGTGATGTGGAAGCCCATCGGTGCAGCAGATGGTCCCGCAAGTGACGCAGGCTTCGCAACGGGGGATCGTGTCATACACGTAGGGGCCGTATCACATCTGGTTGGCCTGGGTAGAACCGGAGGGGAGGGGAGGAACTACGTCACGGCCAGTAACAGGGACCGGAGGAGGAGTAGGCGGCTCGTCAGGTACGCGGAGGCGAACACGGCGAATGGGGGCTACGGAGGGGGTGGCGGACGGAGGAATGACAGGCGGGGAAGGAACGCGAGGGGGAGGAGACGGCGTGCCCAGAAGAAACAAGGGCTCGCGGTCAGGCACGGGCGGCGAGATGGCCATAGGGGACGCAGGGCGCGAGGACGAAGGTACGGGGAGGATAGTGGGGTGAGCAGTCCAGACCGGAATGGGGGCGGGAACGCGTGAAACAACCGAGGCTGACATTGTACCGGGGGTGGTAGGGTCGAGGGGACCAGCGGAGGAAGGATGGATGGGCCAACGACGGTGAAAACATGCTCGCTGAGCACCAGGGGAGCATCATTCCAGCGCGCGGCGCGCAGGTCATCCCGGAGGCCGACCCGGTTCTCGATGTCAGCACGAAGCTGGGCCGCATAGGCCTGGTAAGGTGCCCCAACTGCGAAAGCGCGTTCGGCTACGGTGTCAGACAGCCGGTTCAACACCTCAATAGTGGAGGGAGGATTGCCGGGGGACTCGTGCCCGTTCCGCTGCGCAACCAGGGAGTTGGCCTCGAAAGTAAGCTATGGTGGATTAAAGCTCAGCGCCCCTATGAAGCGGAAGGAAGGCGGGGACCGATACCTGAAGATAGACGGCCCTACGGGCCCACCGGAGCCACTCCATTACCTCGAGGTCCCCAGTGTCAGCGGGGAGGGGCGGTTAGCACGAGTGGAGAGAAACGTTGCCACGTCGTCTCGAAGCTCCATCAATTGCGCCTGAGCCGCGCGGCGTTCGTAGAAGGTCGATGCGGTAGCGCTGGAAGGAGCCGAGCCTGAAGAGGAAGCAGACGGCTCGCGCGATATCGGAGGGGATGCCATAATGAAAAGACGAGAGTCGGATGAAGGGGAGATCAAGGTGGTTGAAATCAAGCGGACACGGTATCAAGATGGCGAGCAGCGGCGTGTTTTGTGTCTGGAGGAAGCTGGTCAGGGGAATCAATCTCACGGAGGAGGCACCCGGACGGAATACATCATAAGCAACGGGGACAATCGCGATTAGGGGAACGCACGAGGAGTCCTCAAGGCGGAAGGACCTGGGTGATCTAGAAGGCAAGACCTGACCGAGGACAGTCAGAATTTCAGGTGGGGGGAGATGTGGGGCAGGGACGTAGCCCAGCCCCGTAAGGCAACGTATAGCACAAGGAAAGGAACGGCACAAGGACCGGGCGTTCATTTAGAGAGTCACCAATGACTACAAGCCCAAGGGTACGCTACGAAACAGTGTTCCCTCCGTCAAACATCTCCGGAACGGTAACGTCAATACCCTCTGGGCCTCCGACCGAACTCTCCTCCAGATCCACGTTCCCTCCGGCAGCATCCCCGAAAGCACCATCCGGTTCGGTGATCAGGCGGACGGAACGGCCCAAGTCGTAGATCTCGCGGACTACAAACCCGACGTCGCTACGGATACGACCGGCAGAGGACCGCTGTTCGCTCATCAATGCGCCCATGCGAGCATGGAGGGAGTCGTGGTTATCGGAAGCAAGCCGGAGGGAAGATAGGCGGAGGGTGGGTCTACGAACTGAGGGGGGACGGCGGGCGAGGCTGTCCGACGGACAGGTCGGCATGGACCCTGTGAGGGGACCACGCGATGGCAGGATACAGGGCAGTGCCGGTGCCGATGTCGGAGGGAATGCCCTCGAATACGGCGTCAACATAGGCGAGCAGAGAGGCCACGGAGGGAACACTGCGGGGTGACGGAAGGGATGCGTCGCCATGGGCCGTAGCCAGGGAGAACGAGTCGAAGAGCATGCGCTAGGACGAGAGTCAAGTGGCGGAAGGGACGAGCAGGGGGCATGCGTACCAGAAGCCAGCGGACACCATGACCCCACACGAGCCAGGCGCCAGGCGAGGACATATCGAGGCGTGGCTCGGCGGCCCGTTCATGTCGAAGCACTTCCAGCAGGAGGAAGTACCGGCGGATGTGGACGGTGGCGAGCGGATTGAGGGGCATGGAGGATGACATGGCACGGAGGGAGGGGAGGACGGGAACCGGGGGGGACGAAGGGAACCGGAGGAGGGCCGAGAGGACCGGAAGGAACGGGAGAGTACGGGAGAGGAGCCAGGAGGCGGAGGCATGGGAGAGCGAGCCGGAGGGAACATAAGGGAGGGGCCGGGGACCGGACGGGGGGAACCTACTGACCTACCACCTAGGAGTAGAGAGCGAGCTCAACGGCGATTCCCTGCGTTTCTGACTGCATCCTGTGTTTACTGCGTTTACTGCGTTGTGAATAGATCACTGCATTCACCTTCAACGAGCACCGTGTTTCCTTCCGGCTCTCTGCGTTTCATCCGGCTTCAACGAGTTTCTACGTGTTCATTCCGAGTCTCTGCGTTGTGGGACGACTCCACCACCCTCCTCCGACCGTGTTACAGTGCCACTACGGGTGTCTGAGCTCATACGTCCCCTCCGGGCCCGAATCGTCACATCCCCTTCCCATCCGCTTGCCAACAGCCCCCGCCCGTCGTTTCTACCGACACCATCGATTCCTTCCGGTCTCTTTCCGACCTGGGAGACTCGCAACCTACACACCATGATCTTAGTGGGATGGACAAGGACATAGAGATGGATGATCGCACCGGCACTACTGCAAGTATGCCGTCTCTATCTCCACATCATATCCCTCCATTGACATTGAGGTCGTCCAGACAAACCGGTGGCAAGTGTCAGCGCATCGGAGCAGGAGGAAGACTCGGATTATGATTTTGTGCAGTCAGATGCTGGCTGCAAGGACGATGAGGACTTCGGTGTCGAGCACGAAGCTGGCATCTCCCAGCGCAAGGCGGAGAGGATCGCACAGCAACTCAAACAAGGTGTGAGTACTATAGTCACGCTCCTCGGGCGCCATGTTTCCCACGCGCACAACCTTCACAGATTGCAACCTTCATCTCGAACCTGGCACTCACCGCCGCAAGTCCCGCGACAACCTGACCAACGACAAGGCTTCCAGTGACTCCGACTCTGACTACAAGGCTGATTTCCTCGACGACGACCACAGCACCCCAGGCTCCGAAGACAATGAAAGCAGTGAGCGAGATGAAAGCGACTCAACTGGCAAACACGTCCCCGATCCTGGATGGCAAGTACATGTCAACCCTCGTGGGCCGCCGCTGACCCTGTTCACTGACTTGCTTAACACAGGCGATGATCGTCTGTCGTGCCCAGCACCGTAACACGGGCAAAACCATCACGACCGCTGTTGGCCTGCCGGAGAACCGTGATGAAGGCCCTCCGGGTGCGGAGGACGGCACCAAGGTAACATGCCACCTGGGCTTCTCCTCAGCTGGTGTCCTCTGTGTCACGCTGACATCATGGTTGAACATGCAGGACGATTGCACCAGCAAAATCACCAAGGCATGTGGCGCCGCTGCTGGGAAAGCCATCCGAGTTGCCCACAGGGCCCAGCCAGAGCCAAGAAGTGATCCCACCCACTGACACCTCAGGCTCACATGTAAGTAATTCAATGTGCTATTAAATCAACACAATGTGTGCGAGTTCATACCCTTTGAACAGGGATCCCCTGCTCCTGCACTCTCGGCAGATGAGTACTTTGTCGACGAGCACTTCGTTGTCGTGGCGTGCAAGCCACGCCACCATAAGGCCAAGGCCAAGACCCCCATCACCGACAATATTGCCCAGGTATGTCATCTCGACCTTTTGGCATCTTCTCGTGGTCGCTCATGCTCGCGCCTGCACGACAACAAAGCCACCGCAACCAGAAAAGGCACCGAAGGTGGTGCCTCAAGCTACCACCAAGATCTCTGGCCGGAAAGTGGTAAGTATGCCATATGTGCACCCTCGTCTTTGCGATGAAATTCCTGCTGACACTGCCCATTCATTGTCGCAGCACAAATGGGTAACTATGACCCCTACCAGCTCATTGTATTATAGCTGACATATGCACATATGATACCATCACTCACCTTGCACCAACACGGTGAAGCGGCCATCTCCGGAGGTGGGTACATGTCATCACATTGAGGCGATGGCCGTGCTCATGTCCGTCGGCAACCATGTCAACTCCAAAATACGCAGTACTTTGGCACCAGTGACGATGATGAGGACAGTCCAGCTGAGCCTGTTGTGAAGCCTCAGCCAAAGCTGTCGTGTCCGAAGAGTTCGAACATGGTACAATGGGACCATCAACACCACAAGGACCTTTGATGCTAACTGTCACCTGTTTCTCTTTTAGGGAGGAGTCTCGGAAGGCGCGCAGGTGCAAACAGTGAGAGCTCGCATCGTCAACAAAACCAATTTGCTGACAAATTCATGGGCAGAGTGCCACCAGAGCATATAATAAGCTGCCTGCAGCTGTGATGGTGTGTCAATCATGCACGCCCTAGCGATGCAGTGACATGACCTCATCATGCTTAGTTCCAGGATGACGACAGCACCTCCAGCGAGGATGCCATTGTTCACAAACCACCGACAAAGCTGCAGACCAAGTGGCCAATTGCCACATACCTGACATACAACGAGGACGGTAAGACCATCGCTGGCATACTGTCGCAGTGCTCAGGCCAAGTCAAGTCACTCTTCTTGAACCTGATTGCACATGAGTTGCTGTGTGCACTCCTTCAAGTAAACGCCTTCCCGGATAAATATGCTCGCCCACAGATGTTCCTCGACATGCTTGTCGATGCTTCGACATGACTGAATTACACAGACATCACTGCCCGGCTTCTCAACGACACAGCATACAGCACCAACATGATGAAGAATGTGAGGCTCACTATTACCTCTGGCTCTCATCATCACCTGCTAATGTATCACTACAGCCAATTGACAGGATATCTAGTGTGCAAAGTCGATGGTACAAGACTGCACGCGACATCGCCTGGGATGCATATGGTCTCAAGGAGCTCGAGGGCGACCAAGAAGGCCACCCGTGTCCTGACTCTTGACAATCACTACATCAGTCCAGGCACCCTCAATGTGAGTGTCTCGCTGATGTGTGTGTTCTCGGACCTGCTCACGTCCATCTTAGAAAGGCAAATAAGAGGACTTCAACCCGAACTTACAGTTCTGCGCGCCGCCTCTCATCAAGATCATCAATGTTCTCTTCTTCGGTCCGAATGCAGATCTCCTGCTTAATGACAAGTTCTTCACGACATCGATCAAGACTGGCGCTGAGGCGACTGAACTCAAAATACCCAATGTGTCACATCGCCACTCTCATGGGGATCAACCTCATTGGTCACCACAAGCTGTTGGTGTATGCATTCCAAGCTGCGAAGTGAGTGGATTGTTGCTGATGGTGAGGCTCTGTACCTCACAGGAACTAATGGATGGATTTCCAGGACTTATCATATGAAAGAGCCTGCTGCCAACTCGGATCGACCTGTTGCAAGCTTGTTTGTGAATTGTGCGACTGCGGGTAGGGACATTGATTTGTTGAACATGTAGTTTCTCATTGTCATCTCTGTAGTTTGTTGGGTTCTCTACATGGCCAAAACAGGTGTCACTGGACAGCCACTATGAGTAGATACTACTTCAATAGCTGGTGTTCTGTGATCCCAAGTATACCTGGTCCATGTAGCATGTCGAAATTGAGGGGTATTGATGTTCTAAAGCATTGCGAATTCGTGTGAATTGAGGAACTACAATGACATCATTTGGCGAGTGATTTGGGATAAATTCACCAGAATTCAAGCAATTTTTTGGGGGGGTCACGCAAAAGGCTCCTCAGCAAAATTTGGTGAAATTCGAGTGAATTAGCCTGAATTTGGATAGGGGGGGTTTCCTGATGTACTTGGCACATCCAACAAACAAAACCGGGACCCACCGCCGAGCACATCCAAGATTGACGTGCCATCTCCTTACTCGGACCCGGCTCAATCGAAGGGATCAACGTGGACTGGCAAGTCCACGTCAATCTCTCCGAGAAAGAAGACACTTGGCGAGGATGAATTCTCATCCTCACGGGTGCAAATCCCTGGACCATACAGCGCGGCCGGCACATCAAACATACCGAGTGATGTGCCCGCATCGACTGATATGATGACAAGGGTGTTGTCGCGCGCCCATAAGAAGCCGGCGCGAAGGGTGGAACCACTGAACTCAGGTGAACGGCAATGTTCACCTGCTGCTAAGGGTACTGAGACCAAGCCGGCGCGAGCGCAAGGAGGAGCTACCTCCTCTACGAGGGGGGTTACTCTCTTGAGAGGGGAAGGGAGCGGGGCCTCGAGCATCCGCCACTGGATCCACACCATGGCCAGTACACCACACGAAGATGTACTGGTCCCAGATCCCCTAGTGACACGGTGTGGGGAGTGCCTCCCACATAGGCCCGGACAGTACGCATTTCACCTATTTTGAACCTTCTGGATGATACAGTTCCCTCCGAGCACAACGACAACTTTCTTTCTTCCTTCCGACATCTAATATCTACTGTACTTCATGGACTTGGTACGATTTCGCATCTCTTACCATATATAGCAACTAGCTACTCTTAGTCAGCATTTGCGGCATACAGTGCCATGAAGACATGTACATATCTTACTTAGTTCTCCCCACCTCCGAATCTAGACATCTGCGAGCACAGCTTGTGGGTCCCTCATACATTTGTTGGAGCTGGGAGAGGCTCCCCGGGTTGGTCAACAGTGACCTTCTTGGGCAATCAAGGATCTTCGGACGTGCACGGTGCCACGTAATCGAGAAAAGACAAGTCCTACGACTTGGAGGCCAGGACAGCTCGGAAGATACAGGACCCAGACAGGGACTCGCGGAACGAGTACAGGAGCTTGCGGAACAAGTACGGGAGCCTGCGGAACGAGTACAGAAGCTCGCGGAACGAGTACAGGAGCTCTCGGAACGAGTACAGGAGCTCGCGGAACGAGCATAGGCGGCTGCAGAACGAGCGTAGGAGCTCGCGGAACGAGCACAGGAACCCGCGGAACGAGGAAGGCGACCACGGAACGAGAACGAGACAACCGCGGAACGAGTTTAGCGACTTGAAGGGCAGTGACTGCAGAGCCAGAGTGGGGCACCTTCGGAACGAGAACAAGGACAAGAACGAGACAGAGCTTTAGAGTCCACGGAGCGAGTTGGGAACAGAGTCGTCAGCGAGGCTTGGAGAACCGAGGACAAGGTCAGTAACCCTGAGGCATCGTTGCGAGATCATTTCTCGGCACATCTCCCCTCCACTCTCAAAACCCCTTCCACCCATGTCACCTCCAATCAGGGAGCAGCGAAATGACCCACCCCTCGAACATCGCGCCCGGGGGTACCACACTCCCGAGCTACACAACTGGAGCCCACCGCGAGGGTGGTACCCCTTTCCTGCTTCCTCCGCTCAGCCTTTGGCTTCGCGTCATCGCGCGTACACCATAGGCGAGCTGATTTACATCCCTTTCATCATCTTGTCACCCCATTGCCCACGGAATCGGTACCATCGACGCCCTATGCCGACGTAGCCACGACTCCGAGTGAAAGACTGAATGTGGACCTCGGGCCTGTCACACTGGAGGCAGCGACTCCCCGACACGGCGGCGTATCCATGCAAAAGACGGAACACGACCCTCTAGTCGAGACGGCAGCTTACGGTCCATCGAGGACAGGAGATGCGCAGACTTTTGTGCGCTCAGCTTCTCACCGAGGGGCACACGGAGAAGTTACTGCGGAGAGGGCGAGGACGACTACAGACGAATCTCAGGCTACCGTCCACATAAACACGGTTATCGGACGAGAGGGATCAGGCGACACCCCGAGCATTTACGAGCGAGCAATTAGACTCGGAGGCGCTACAGTGATTAGGACATGTATTCGGGGAGGGAGCACGAGCACTACACTACAGGCATCGGGAACCACATCGGGTGACGGCTCGTGCCAGGCGGTCGACCAGTTCTTCCTTGAGACGCGGCGCCTGACAGCTAGGTCATCCGGGCGAGTCGACGAGCTCGGAGGAGGTAGAGCAGGATGGGTCGAGATGCAGTCAAACGACCCTGCACCTTCGGGAGCAAACATCAGTCGCGCGACTCGGAGTCTGGAGCGAGCAGTGACGCACCCAGCCAGTGGACCCGAATGTCGACAATCCGAAGCGATGAATGGAGGGCAGGACGAGCAGGCGACTCTGCCTCTGCGACTGTCATCGCATCTATCAGGCCTGTTCGACCGTGTCACGACGAGAGATGAGCGAGCGACCTTGGACGGCGGAGCCAGTCAATCGAGCGTCGGCCTCATGCTGCTAGAGACAGCAAGATGTACACGCACGTGGGGAGGCTGGACCTGCGAATCCTGGCGAGTAGGAAGCTTCCAAGCACGCAAGCAGGGCAGCCATGCAACGGGGCCAGAGAGCAATATCGACATCGAGACTATGTACGCGAGGGAGCAGAGTGAGCGGATGGAAGTGCCTAGGGCGCAGAACGTGGACGTACGGGAGCATATCGTTGCGGCGGAACAGGGCTCCCGAGGAGTTCACACGGTAACTATAGAGGCAGCACGACGGTCAGAACGGACACGAAGCACTGTGGCAGAGATCAGACTCACCAGCGAAATGGGCACGAAGGGCGACATGTTCCCTATGGTGGTCAGTAGCCGGAAAGCGACCCAGTTCGGCGGTGTACTTGCTTCAACTCGAGGAGATCGAGGAGGAACGGATGTGCCGCGCGTAGTCGACCCAGCGTGGGCCTACGAGGGCTCAAGTGTAAGCGACACCGAACGAGAAAACAACGGAAGAACGGAGATACCTGGACGCGGCACCGACGTGGCGTCGAGCGGACGAGACGAGTCAGGGTCGCAAGCACAAGACTTCCGGCGGGCAGCGCGCGCGCGAAAGGATGTAGCGGCGACGGGTATTGTGCCACACCGTGGCTGGTACGGCAATCTGGGCGGTGACGAGAAGAGAACGGCGGGCGGCAAGCCATCGAGCGCAGCCACTAGCGCATGCGACAGGGAACGGGAGGAGGTCGGAGAGTTCTTGATGGCGGCGAGGCGAGTCGTCAAATTCGGAAACGACTGGCCACGGCTACATCAGCAAGCTGTACACGTGTCATGGGGGTCGAGGCAGGTCACAACAGCAGTGGTAAAGGATAGACGCACCAGTAGAAACCCTGCGATATGCCGTCCAGCTTCTTTGCGAGTCGAAGGCGTAATATCAAGTCGACGAGGTACACCGCACGTGCACACGAATGCGAGAAACGCATCAGACCTCCGAGGAGATACCCTGGGGCACGATGGCGCGACAACGGAGGAACTCGATACGTGCGAGCCAGACGAGCCGCAGGAGCGACGGGCGGAGCAAGCGCAGGCGTTCAGACAGGGTATGAATCGAGCAACTGAGATCGTACTCACCTACGGATTCTTCCCCACCAACTACGCGTACCCTCGACGTTCATCTCCCTCCGCGAGAACTGTCTGGCATGTGCAAGAGCACGCGACGAGCGCATTCGAGCTCGGAGTTGAGGACGTGCCCCTTCCGGGCAGACAGCGGGACGATGATGGACGCGACTGCGACTGGGAGCGTGCTGACGTGGCGAGAGATCAACAAGGGACCATGATCGCGATGGACGAGAGACAACACAACGAGATCCGGAGCGAGGTCCACAGGCAGTCGCAGGCAGAGGAGAGAGGACTCAGGCGAAAGACGATCGCTCAAGCGCCCGAACCACGGTCTGCACAGCGTACTGGCGCCTCGCTGGTCGGTCGAGTCGAAGTTCTGGCGCGCGCATTTTCGCAGCTCCCACGTCTCCTCAATACTAGTAGCTGGCTTGCGCATGTTTCTATCTGGCGAAGTGCGAGATGCTCAGAGACGGCCCATAGTTGCCATACCGTAAGATCGGAGGGAACCGCGTTATGTGCGTACAAGCGGCAGCGGCACGACCAGGGGGTCCTACCCTTAGGTGAAGCAGACACTCGAGGCAAGCGTATGGGCGAGAGGGAACGGTTGGAGCGCGAAAGAGCAATAAGGACAGTTCTATGCGCAAGTGAGTCACCGCAACAGTCACGACTGAACGGAGGCGACGTAGCAGGTCTGTGCATCGATATGCATGCACTGAGGTGCCAGCAGGCGGACTCGGTGATAGCAAACTCATCAACGGAGGGAACACTCACTCACGGATCTGTACCACCGATGAGGCAGACGGGTTGGGATCGCGACTCACAGTCAGACGGAAGCGAGAAGTGTAGCAGCGAGAGTCTAGCGACGGACAGGAAACAGACGAGCTTCGAGGACGACGCGTCACAGAGGGAACAAGACGACTTCAGGAAGACGGCACGGCGGAGCATTGCCGGGCGGGATGATTCCTCAGAGGCAAAGCAGCCAGACGCGGAGGGAACATCAACGTTCGGATGAGTGTCAACACAGGACGGACTCACCCAGAGCGCCCCCACGATCAGTCGCTCGCGCGCGGGACCGCTGTTCTTGCCAGTCTTGGTCATCACATCCGGGCGGAAGGAAAGGGTACACGTATGCAAGGACGCGACGAGCGGAGTGTCTCCTCCGAAGCGACTGGAGGGCGGTGACGGGAGCGGCTGTCGCCGACGAAGAGCTGAGGGCGATTGGCACTCAGGCAAACGGTCGGACACGAAAGGAAGTATCGAGGACGCGGGTACAGGAAGTCAAGCTCGAATCATGCGGTCGGTCGAAGTGAAGAGTATCTATTGCGAGGCTACCTACAACAGACGGACGAGTCGAACCAGCGCGCCCACGGGAGAATTAAGCGACGCCCGCTCGGAAGTCACGGCGAGCCGGCAACTTGAAGTTCCGTCTATCCAGACGGGACGCGAGTACGGGTGCGAGAGCACGGACAGGCGAGCAGTTGCGGGTACGGCACGGGCGAGCTCAGAGATGGAGGTGCGCCAGTGGAAACAGCGAGAGCGGGACAGATCTCTGGATGCATCGAGACGACAAGTTGCGGATTTAGACGGGGAACGGGAGCTACGGGAGGAGCGGGATGAAGGAACGCGGACGTTCGGACGCACGCTGGCGACCGAGATTGCCAGGCGATATGCGAAGCGATCACCAGCTAGCGGTGACGACCTCGTGGAGGGAGCGGAAGATGAACGAAGCACTCAGTGCGGAGCGAACCGAGGAGCTTGGAGGCTAGAGGAGGTAAATAAGGGGTGGAGTAGTTGGATGGTGAGCGCGAGCTATGAGACTATGACCGGGCGGAGGGAACGAGGGGATGTAGAGGATCGTCTGGAGGCTGCTGGACGAGAGATCGCAAGTCAAGACGACCACTTAGGAGTACAGAAGCACTACGCGGAAGGAACGCGAGCGTCTGGACGAGGGGATGGACTCACCCGTAGTCTCTGTGCGGCAAACGGTGCAGCTCGTACCGACCGGGTTTGGAAAGTGTTGCCTCAGACGCAAGAGGACGACGGTGGTACAATTGGTCGCGGCGTCGGGGAAGCGGAGGAAGGAGGTGAGAGTCAGCCGAGGATGAGGACCGCTACTGGTGTGGCTGAGCACAGGGAGTGCTGCGGCGGGAAGGATAAGCCGTCGCAGGCCGAGATATTCACGAAGGAACCGAACGTGTTTATGCAGGGTATCCACGGCATGGCGAACCCTCAAGTCGCAGACGTAGCGCGCACCCTTTCACGTATCCTCAAGTCGGTTATGGTCCTATTAGCGGGTGCACTGGCGTGCAGCGGCATCTGGCGACATATGATGAAGGCCGTGTCAGGGCATCTGGATCGCGCTGCGGAGGGGACCACGTACGAGGATCTGAGCCGCAGGGAACACGACTCGGATGCGAATCTCAAGAGGTTGTCGACGGGAACGCCAAACACGAGAGCTGATCGGACGGATCAGTGCCAGGTGCGAGTGACTGCCCACGTAGCGCGGCTCGGGAGCAGACCAGCGGAGAGGGTGTCTCGGATCGACACGCGGTGCAAAACAAGAAGGGGCAGGACATCGAATCCCAGAGCATCCGGAGCACATGTACGAGTCGGGAGCGAGAGATGGACGAGCACGCGTACGGCAGGGAGAGCATCCAGGGGCATAGGTCAGCTGGGGTGTCAGTTTCGAGCGCGAGACGAGTCGGAGGGAACGAGTGGAGAGCGAAGCATTCGTGCAGTCCACAAGACGAGAGGCGGGAGACGTCGATTGCCAGCATGTTCAGCGACAGGACGCAGACCAGACGCGCGGGCACAGATGGTCAGCACGGATCAGGGACGAGAACGGACGCGGCAGTAGGGTCCGTACAGCGAACGGTTCGATGCGGGTCTACGGGATACAGGACTGGAGGTATAAGACCGCCGACAGAGAGCGTGCCGAGGTCCGTGACGTCGACGAAGGCCTGTCGGAAGAGGCAGAATTGGACCAGGGAGGATCCAGGCGACGACCGTCCAAGAAGAGCCTGCGCAGTTCCCTACTGGGCTGCCAGTCTCCGAGTCGCTGAGGGGCCATTCGCACGCAACATCATCTGGCGACACCCGCTACAGGAGGCGACGGGGGTATCCCAGCGATCCGAGGAGGACGGCAGACGCGGGGACCCGTACAGCTCCGAAGGATCGAAGGCAGACGACTCAGTGGCGAGCCAAGTGTCTACCGAGGCAGAAGTGAGCGGCGCAACAACCGACGAAGGAGAACGAACCAGGGCACAGAGGGAGAGCGGATCGATCAAGCGCGCGCGGCGGAAGAAGGCAGACTGCGGGCTGTGTGCAGCAGTTGAGCCCGAGTCGTTGCGGAGAGAAGCGTCGGTTTACCCAGTGCTGAGGTAAGGGAGTGGAGAGGTGTCGGACCGAGTCAAGGGGAAGTGGAGTCGGTCCACCAGGACACCGAGTGCGGCGATGCGGTGGGAACCATGGAACTTCGAGTCAAACCCGGAATACCATCGGAGTGCGACGAGGCGAGGTCAGACGATTCAGGGATGCAGCGGGCCGGCAGTCATGCGAAGGACGGATACGCCGAGCGCCGTGTAGCCGTGGTAGACCCCCACATTGGTATCGAGAACAAGCACAGCGGGGACTATATTGGGTCGATGAGCACAGCGCAAGTATCTGAGAGCGGATGGTGGGTGTCGGTTATCCCAGAAGCCGCGAGTGGTGGCGAGCTAGGCGACGGCGAGGCCGACGCAAGTGCCCAGGAGAGACAAGGGCTGGAGCCGAGAGGCGGGCAGGCCGGGTCCGAGCAGGAGGACCACGTACGTCAAGACGGGCAGCGAGCAACGAGTCTAGACCAGGGATGGGCGAGCGATGTGGTTGGACGATTAGATGGTCGCGAGCAGCACTTACCGAGCGGGACGAAGACCAGGGGCCAGGTCGATGAGCACATGGCAGCGATGGACAAGGACGCGCCAAGGCCTGTATCGAGGGACGTTCTGTTACAGCGAAACGAAGTCGAGAGAGGGGATGTATACGTGGAGAGCATACAACGCTGGGGCGCGAGCTTGGAGCTGGGTCCGGACGGGACAACTCACCAGAGATTCAGCCGTGGCGGGAGTGTCCCTACGACTGGGCAGCAAGAACCAGCTGAACTGGGTATACCGCCGTGGACGCAAGACGAGTATACGTGGACCAAGAACGACGGAACGGGTGAGCGCATGCAGGACAGCGAGTGCGCAGTAATGCTCCCGCAGAGGAACCCGGTCGAAGTCAGTGAGCGAACTGGCGATCTCATGGAAGCAGGAGGCATACCCCGGGAATGTTCTGCGGCGGACGAACCTGCACGGGCACATGGCGAGACAGACCAGGACGCGAGCCTGCTGCTGAGTAATGGGGAGTCCAAACCCGCGGGCGAAGGCGCCGAAGCTAGCGAGACGCAGGAGGCGGCGAGACAACAAGTTCAAGTACAAGTAAGGACATCAATGCGCGCGGCAGGAGAGAACAGACATACCGAGTGTAGGAAAGCGGGCGAGAGCACGAAGGATAGCGATGGCGAGGTGGTTCCGCAGGAGGACTTGGTCGAGATCAGCCAGCCATACGGGCTGAAAGCGAACCTCGAAGACGTGCCGCAGCAGCGACGCGTGGGAGACAAGGACGTACGTGCACGTGACGAGACGAAACGGGGCGAGAGCTTGGAGCCAAGAGGAAAGGCTGAGCCCGAGATGCGAGGCCCGGAGCCAAGCGCCGAGCGACTCGAGAGTGAGCAGGAGGACCCCGTATGTCAGGGAACAGGGGGTGGACTCGCGTGCTGCAAGACGAGGCCGATCAACGACACAAGGTACACCCTGCGACTGGAAGCCGAACTGGGAATGCCGTCGTGCGCACAGACCAGGGATGGACAGGCCGAGCGAGAGGAAACGGGCGAGTACGCGCTAATCGAGGATCATGGACCAGTGTCGCAGGCGAACAGGGCTGAGGTCAGCCAACCAACCGGGGCTCTCGTGGGCTCAGCAGACGTACCCCCGGGATGTTCTGCGGCAGACGGGCTAGCACGCGCGCATGACGATAGGGACCAGGCCGCGAGCTTCAGGGCGGCAGAATCGCACTGTTTAACCAGGTCGTCGGCATGCATATCGGGAGAGAGCGGATATGTCGAGTCTGAGAGAGCGGGCGAGTGCGCACGAGACGGGGATGGTGCGACGGTTCTGAAGGTGACCTCGTTCGGGACCAGCGAGCTAGCGGAAGGACCGGCTATCGTTGAGTCGGACGGGCAAGAGTCGGGACCGCAAGCAGGGTGCGTCGACGCCAGCCGGTCAAGGGAACTCCCGGCAGAAATGACGGGCCAACCATTGCAACGAGAGGCGGGGGAGGGACACGTCCGAGCTCATGGGAACTTGAACCAGCGCGCGGGCGTTCAGCTGAGTAATGGGGAACCCGAGTCAGCTGATGAACACGCAGGACATGGCGGCGTTCGGGAGACTGCAAGACCATGGAGTCGAGCGGGTATGTCGAGGCACACTGGCAGGCAGGGAGAGAACGGACGTCCCGAGTGTAAGGGAGCGAGCGTGCGGGCGCAGAACAGCAATGGCGAGGCCATTCTACGGGTCAACCTGATCGAGGTCAGCCAGCCAAACGGACTACCTGCGGACCACGCAGACGTACCGTGGCGTCGAGGTGCGAGAGCCAGATGCGTATATGCTGGTGGGGACACAAACCGGGGCACGAGCTTGAAGAGGAGCAAAGGGGAGCTGGATGACGGATGTGCTGGCGATAGCGAGACAGGGAGGGAGACAAGGCGAGACTGGCAAGCATCGGGCGGAGTACCGTCAGGGATGTGGATGGAAGGCGAACGCACCGGACTTGAGAAAGCAGGCACGAACAGGGAGGAGGGTGTCAGCGAAGCGGTTTGGCGAGTCGGGATCGCCGAGGTCAGTCAGTCAATCCACCCCTTCACGGAGGCACTGGACATATCGTGGCGGCGATGCACGGCGGGCAAACGGAGGGAGTACAGGCGGGCCAGAGCCGATGTTATAGGTGAATACGGGCAGGAAGGCGGGGGCGAAGAGGTGCCACAGACGGGATTCATCGATATCAGCCCGCAGAACGGCTGCTTCGCGGATTCAGCAGACATACTGGGGCATGGATACGGTACGGGTGGGCTCGTGCTCGTGCACACAGGAAGGAAGGTGAACCGGTGTGCGAGCGTCGAGCCGAGTATGGGGGAGCGAGTTGATGAACGTGCTGGTCGTAGCGAGACCTGGAGAGCGAGGAGACGGGGAGCCGCATCAGCAGAGTTGTTGTCCGTGCAAACGGAGAACACGCGCTCTGAGTACGATGGGACGAGCGGGCACGCGCAGGACAGCGAATGTGGTGAATTACTGCAGGTGGGGTTCACGGAGATCATCCAACCCCTGCGAGTCGAGATGGACCGTGCCTGGAGCTTTGAGCCGAGTAAGGGGGACTGGGACAAGGACGTCCAGCAGTTTAAGATGGAGTGGAACAGCGAGTGCGATGAGGAACCCGATCAGTGGAACGCAACGCGAGGCTGTGGCGAACGAGCAATACCTACGTACAAGGAACAGCGGGACGTGACGACCGAGCATCCGAGCCACATATGCGAGGCCGGGGACCGTATGGAAATCGGCAGGAGCAGTGACTCACCGGACGAACCGGGGCAGGGATCGCGAGCGGAACACAGCGCGGATAGTCCAAGAGATAGGGCGAACAACTACGAGCCTGATTCTGCGAGTCAAGACGTACCTGAGGATGCCTGGCTGCTAGGAGACTTCGGGGAGTTCGGCGCTGATACGCCGGAGCAGACCCCTGAGGAGGACCTCGTCGCATGCTGGCACATTGCGGAGGATGGGCGGCGGTTGTGGGGGCACATTCCGCGACTCGAAGCTGAGGCCGCCCTGCGCGAAGTTGAGCAGGCAGACAAATGGATCCCAGAGGACAACACGCGCACTGTTGACGAGGACGCCGAGCGGAACAGATGGCTAGCGCAGTTCCTGGTACACGAGCACATACGACTCGGGGTACCACTGGCAGAGGTCTCGGATAGCCCAAGGGGCGAGCACTTGACGCAACGGGAGATTGGGCAAGCAGTCGGCCTGGGAAGCTCGAGCGCGGACGGTCCAGCGGGACGCGAGCGACCACAGAGGGCGTATCCGAGAATGGGGGAACCTCGGAGAGGAGCTAGACCTGGTGGTCAGCCAGATAGGGCGGTCGACGCGGTAGAACGTGGACCGCGAGACTCGGAGTGCCTTATACTCGCTGAGTCGGCCGAGCTGAACATCCCGGAGGAAGCGCACGATGACGGGCTGCGAAGCTGTTGTCATCTCGACAAGCACGGACAGTGGATCATCGAGCTCCTTTCGCGCGACGAGGCGAAGAAGGCGGTAGCGGAGGCAGATCAGCGGTTGCGGAGCGGGTTCATGCGTGGCAGGTCAGGGGCAGCTCGAGGACATACCACACAAGACACCGAGCAGAACGAGTGGTTAGCGCGGAACCGTGCACACAAGCGCGTACGACTCAGGGCCGTGGTCTCGGAGAGCGAGAGGGATGAGCAGTTGACACGGTGCGACACTGGAGAAGCATGCAGCCCGGGTCGACGAGTCAGAGGAAACCAGATCCGTGACACGCATAGTCCGGCGAACCGAGAACATCCGCGCAAGAGGGATTCTCGGAGAGGTACGGGACCGGCTGGTTGGCCAAATGGCGCGATTTATGCAGAAGAACCTGGACTTACCGGGGAGCATCGTTTTGTCGGGTTCTCTGAGTCGGAAGAGGTTCGCGAGGACGACTTGGAGCTGATCACTTGCTGCCATCTCGACGACCACGGGCAGTGGATTGTTAAATCTCTTCCGCGCGACGAGGCGAAGAGGGCGGTTGCGGAGGCAGACCAGCGGCTGCACGGTGGGTTTGTGCGCAGGTTAGGGACAACTCGAGGTCACACCATGCGAAGCCCAGCGGAACGAGAGCGACTGTCGAGCATGGATCCGAGTATGGGGGAGCTGCAGAGAGAAGCTGGACCTGGTGGTCAGCTCGACATCGCAATCGACGCAGAAGGATCGGGATTCAGCGAGTGCTTACTTCTGGAGTCAGCCAAGCCCAACGTCCCGGAAGAGGCTTGCAACAATGAACTAGTCAGATGCGGCCATCTGGACGAGAACGGGTGTTGGATCGTCGAGTACTTGCCATATGCAGAGGCGATTGATGAGACAAACTGGGACTGTGGCTGGGTCAACCGGGACGAATGTCGCGCGCGCAGTTCCAGCGCAACTCGAGGACAGATCACAGAAGATAACCGAGCGGAAGGACTGGCAACATTTATGTCGCAGTGGATTGCTCTCGGTTAGTGTTGCCAAAGGAGTAGGTGACCGGGGACGGTCACAATTCGAGTATGGGGGAGATGTGGGGAGTGCCTCCCACATAGGCCCGGACAGTACGCATTTCACCTATTTTGAACCTTCTGGATGATACAGTTCCCTCCGAGCACAACGACAACTTTCTTTCTTCCTTCCGACATCTAATATCTACTGTACTTCATGGACTTGGTACGATTTCGCATCTCTTACCATATATAGCAACTAGCTACTCTTAGTCAGCATTTGCGGCATACAGTGCCATGAAGACATGTACATATCTTACTTAGTTCTCCCCACCTCCGAATCTAGACATCTGCGAGCACAGCTTGTGGGTCCCTCATACATTTGTTGGAGCTGGGAGAGGCTCCCCGGGTTGGTCAACAGTGACCTTCTTGGGCAATCAAGGATCTTCGGACGTGCACGGTGCCACGTAATCGAGAAAAGACAAGTCCTACGACTTGGAGGCCAGGACAGCTCGGAAGATACAGGACCCGGACAGGGACTCGCGGAACGAGTACAGGAGCTTGCGGAACGAGTACGGGAGCCTGCGGAACGAGTACAGAAGCTCGCGGAACGAGTACAGGAGCTCTCGGAACGAGTACAGGAGCTCGCGGAACGAGCATAGGCGGCTGCAGAACGAGCGTAGGAGCTCGCGGAACGAGCACAGGAACCCGCGGAACGAGGAAGGCGACCACGGAACGAGAACGAGACAACCGCGGAACGAGTTTAGCGACTTGAAGGGCAGCGACTGCAGAGCCAGAGTGGGGCACCTTCGGAACGAGAACAAGGACAAGAACGAGACAGAGCTTTAGAGTCCACGGAGCGAGTTGGGAACAGAGTCGTCAGCGAGGCTTGGAGAACCGAGGACAAGGTTACGATCCCTGAGGTACGAAGGTATCGTTCTTATGATGGACCACCATGAAACGCCTTAGCGATTCCTCCAGAATGGCAGTTTGTTCCCACAGTGCACGTGACATTCAGCCACCCAGATAAGTAGAGATAAGTAACTGTTAGTATGAGTTACTTATCTGAGTCTGAAATTTCAGACTCCCAGACGACGCGACTTGCACCAACAGATACAAACAAATGCAGTGGTTAAGCGCTCACTTATGGATATGAGGGCCATGAAACGCCTTAGCAGTTCCCCCAATAAGGAAACTGATAAACATATCATGTGACTGGCAGCTGGGTGGCTCAATGCTGCAAGCGCTTACACACTGTAGTGCCTATATAGTCTCAGCCAGTAACAAATCATAGTATACATAATATGCTCCCCTTATAGTCCTTCATTCACAGAGTATACAGCAATTTTACGCAGTATAGACAGTCACTGGCTAACTCAGAAAATGCAAAACAAAAAAATGCACATATGCCTCTGCAGATTCAATGTGTTTCTTTATGACTCAAATATGTTCTATGTGTACACTGCAATGTATATGTGTGGTTTAGACACTGTGGACAGCTCATTCGCTTCTATGATGGAGCCAACAAGGATAATGATGGGTAATATGAGCATCCTTTACCATATTGTGCTCCATATATCCCATGTAGTGATCACTATTGCAGCTCAAAGCAACAATACGCTGGTGTTGGATGTGACTGTATATTTCCCACATTTTCTGCATTTGTCTGAGCCCCATATGCACTAATGTGTGTATGATACCTCTTTGGGAAGGCCACATACTCCATATGGCAATTGTGCAGCCACTAGCTTTGTCTTGCACACAGTCACAGACTAGGGATACATATATGCATCTGTACTTTATGGAGAACTGGAAAAGCTAATATAGCAATATATATGGTCATGCTCTAGGTACCAAGGTTACAGACAGGACAATATGATTTTGACACATATATAAAGTACACAGCCATATCACCCATGTTCCACGCATAGATTCAGCCCATACAAAAAGGCTATGCTACATTACAATATACCTCATGATATGAAGTCACACAAGTGACATGCTCCAGATCAATAAGTTGCCTGTATTTATCCCTAGTGTTCATCAGGGTCTTCAGGCATGATTTTGTGAGGTTATTCATTGTTCATAAAGCACATATTAGCCTGCACAAAATGTAAAATCTACCAAGTGTATTGCAATGATTATAGTAGAATGCCATTGCTAGCATCACATCTGTTATTTATTCAATCACACTTTGTTATCACTGCTGTCACACAGTGTTATCACTTCTATCACACACAGGGTTATCATGTCTGTGACATGGTGTTATCATGTTTGCTACAATCCAACCATGTTGTCTATCCATTGTAGACAGGGCAATGTACAATGAGGAAGTTCTACCTTAGGCAGAGTCTCATACTGAATGAATAACCCATACATGACTTTCTGTATAGCTCAGAGCTCTACTAACACTACCAATCTATTATCTAAAATGGCACCTTCTTCCCAGCCCTCTTCACTTTGCACAGCGTGTGCTCTACCATGACAGGATCAAACACAATCTTGGACTTCACATCAGCAGACAGCTTGGCCTCAAGATGATCATGTGCAAGCTTAAAAGCCTTGCACACTTCATCTTGAGTAGCTGACTTGCCGCTGATCAGTCCAAGACATGCAAGACCGGCAAACGCACCAGCCTTCAAGTTCCAAACCACCTCACCCATCTCCTCCACCGTCGGCATCTTCACCTTCCCAGCATATGCAAAGTCAGCAGCCAGGAGAGTGGAAGTCAGAGGTCCAGAGGATGGAAGGTGCTTGCGCTGGATAGCTCCAGTGCGACACTCTGCAAGGAACTCCTGTCGCGCATCCATGAACGCAACCGGGTGCGCATGAAAGAACTCACGGAAGTGAGGCTCAGCTGCAAAATAAGCCTCCGCATGCTGAGGACCGCGCTGGGGTTGGTGTGTCCCATAGCATGACTTGTCGCAGAGGTAGTCCTCCGGGTGAGCAGCGACGAGTTTCTTGAAGTCCTTGAGAGAAGGGAAGAAGTTGGGAGAGAGGTAGGAGGCCTTGGCTCCAAAGGTGATGCAGCGGTGGAGGATACCGCTGGCAATGGCGCCAACCTTGCCTATGTTGTCAGGATGGAAGGGGCCAGAGGGAGATGTTACTGCGCGACGGCCCCTAGCGAGCTCCCGGAAAGGCAAGCGCTTGTCATCGTTCTGCGCACACCAGCGCTGAAGAACAGACGACGACTTGGTCAACTTCGCACCTTCCAGGAGATGGGGGAGGACACCGTAGCAGTCCATGATGAAGCCCAAGAGCGCATCAAGACCGTGAGCATCAGAGTTGGTGAGCTGCAGGGGAATGGTAGGCACAGGGGGAGCAGAGGAAGATGGAGTGGAGGGAGCTGGGATGACGCCGGCACGAAGTCTGAGGAACTCAGCAAACGCCTGCGCATCGGGCGACGTTGGCTGAGAGAGAACTGGGAGCCCGGCAGAGATCATAGTAGAACATGTCCAGACGGTTGGAGGAGACAAGACGATGGCGCTCATGAGGAAGGAGAAGAGATGCCTCCGCGCGCAGGTAGATGTCCCAGACGCCATCCAGAAGGAGGACATCAGAGGTGCGGAAGGCAGAGATGATAGCGCGGATGAAGAGAGAGCGGAGGTAGGAAGCGGTCTTCGTGGGGAAGTCGAGCCACGTGCGCAGGGTGCATGGATGAAAGTGATAGACGCACCACGACGCAGATCAGGCGACTGGTACCGTGTCTGTGGGATGGTGGCAGAACCGGTGGGAGACTGGGGAGGAAGTCCTCGCGCTGGAGCTTCACAGAGTCGTAAGACTGGAAGCCCTTGTCCACAGCGCGTGCAAGACGTGCAAGCCAGTCATCAGCGTCAGAGTCACCTTCAAGGACTTTGATGCAGTAGTTGACTGCAACACGGTCTAGCCACAGCCATGCATAGTAGTTCATGAGCATGACTTCAGACCGCAGAATGGCGCGCTTAAGGTGCTGGACCCAATCAGCGCGCTCAAACTGGGTCTGAGCAGACCAGTTCTAGATCAATGCAAAGTCAGACACGCTCTGAATGCATCAGAAAATGAAGACTTACACTTTGCAACAAAACGCAAACTCAACAGAGCGTGCAGCGGCGGAGTCCTCACCCTCCATCGCGTCAAAGAGCCGGTCAAGCATCTTGCGCGGTACAGAGGCTAAGTCTGGCTGCTGCACGTTCAGAACACGTGCAACATTGCCTAGACTCTTGTTCATGGCATGGAACTTCCCCTCAGTGAAGAGAGAAAGAACCGCCGCATACGCTAAGTCCAATGTGAGTGATTGAAACAAATGACACAAAATTGAGACTCACGGTTTGCACTTGTACTTCCAGAGGGACCCGCTGCATCAGACTCAGCATCACTCTCATCAACTTTGAAAAAGAACATATCTGAGTGAGAAATTCAGGTATAAAATGCAAAGTCAATGGCGTACCTTCATCATCCACACCCTGCAATGACGCTGCAGGTGGACCCATAAGGTCATCCAGAGCTACAGAGGGCTGAGCTTGATCATCCTCTCCATCAGAAACATGGCGAGCTATGAAAGAAAGCATGAAATTGGAACTACTACAGCGCAACTGACTTCTTACTGGCACGGCGAGGTCGCAAAGTCCTACCACCTCCACGCTGAGCTGGCTCAGCAGACCCACTAGCCTGACCAGCTGCAGGTCCTGCTAAGGCCATCACACGTGCTGAACGACGTGGATGGCCTATGACTTGAAGAGCTATAAGGCAAACTGTCAGTAAAGCCAAAAGAAAGCGCAAAAAAGGCGCAAAAAAGCGCAACAAGTGCTGCAAAGCTAACAAAAAAGCGTAAAAAAGCGCACCATCTTCATTTCCTAAGTCCAGATGCACTGTGAGAGCCATGAGATTGTGCTCAAACTGTACAACTATGAGACTACTCACCTCGCTGTGCAGGTCTGCTATCAGCATCTGCACCATCCTCCTCATCGCGCGCACGCTTCTTGCCCTTGGTCTTCTTCGGCTTAGCGCTGCCCTTGGCTTGCGCAGTCTTCTGTCCACTCTTGGAGGACTTCTCTGCAATCACCAAGTGAGCAAGACAACACAAGAGAACGTACAAGACTTACTGTGTGCTTTGGAACCTGAAAACCAAGTCAGAACACAAGTCCAGAAATGCTTAAGTGCAGCACTTACGTCCAGGACGCGTCACTGGCGCTGGGTCTGGAATCTCCAATTCATGGCGGAGGGCGACAATGTGCTTGTCATACGTCGCACGTGGAATGACAGCCGCATAGTGCAGCTTGTGCTCCTTCCACTCCCTCCAAACCTGAGCACGCTCATCAATGGATGGATGAACGTACTCAGGTTGTCAGGCCGATGTTCAAGGACAGGAACAAGTTCCGTGTCAGAGAATGTGATGGGCTGGCCCTCCTCATCAACCGCAGAGAACGCTTTGAAGAACGCGTCTGGGTCAAGAGATGGGCCCACATCGGCCTGACGCCACAAAGAGAAGACAACATTGTACAACTGGCGCACCAAAAAAGACGCAACGGTACGTCTGTCCCCAATGTTGAGACCATCAACAGCGTAGTTGAGCTTGTTGGTATCCGTCTTGAAGTCCCGGTCATACCTGAAGATGCATCAGTATGCTGAAAAACAACAAGTCCAGGACTTACATAGGATTGTACATCTCCGGTGGGACCTTCAGCACGTCCCGCGCAAGCGCACCAAGCGCAAGCATGGACTGACCATCCATGACCCGGCTCATGGGGTACATGATATGGTTAAGACGCAGCGCGTCCTCTGCAATCTCGACAGAGGGGTCCGTGACGTACGGACTCATCCCCATGTGCCAATGAAGGCCAGAGAACAAGACGGTGAGTAGGCTAGACCTCTCCGTCTCGTCCTCTGCGAAACCGTCAGGGAGTCTCACATACGTGTAAGACTCTGGAAACAGGAAGAGCCCGGGGTGGATGCCCGCGTGCAACTTCGAGAAGACGGTCATGACAGACATCGCACCTATGGAATCATGCTGATCCTGGTGCAGCCCACCGAAAAAGCCCAGAGACTCTGACAAGTTCATGGGCCCTGCATAACACGTGTCAGAAGTGAACACAAATAAAGAAAAAGACTTACCTTTCTGCAGCTCTGTCAGGTAATCAGGCGTGGAGATGTTGAGCTGGCTCCCACCAAAGCATACATTGTCCACACTCCCCGGGCGGAAGTACCCGAGGAGCTTGGCCTGCAGCTCCATGCGGTGGTGAAGCTCAGGCTGGACGGTGCGGATGACATGAACTCCAAGTTCACCGCCCACCTGCAAAATGATAAGTCAAAAAATGTGAGATGCAACAACTCTTACCTTTGCAAGCTCCCTACGTATCTTCGCATCCTCACCATCGCCACCCACAAAGGACTTAGCCTCTACGTTGGGGGACAGGACACCATTCTGGGCCTGCTGGGACTGGGTGATAGCGTAGATACGCTTACGGTCAGCGGTACCTTTCAGGCCCTTGTCGAGCACAAGACGCTCGAACTCCGTGCCTTTCACCCAGCCCCCGTCCTCCTTGACGGGCGCCTCACGGGAACACTGGTCAACGGGACCAATGATCTCACTACGGAGGCTGAGGTAGCGCTCCTGCAGCTCCAAGGGCATGTCCCTACGCAGCAGTGAGCATGAAAAGCAATATGGAAACAGAAATACTTACCTCTGGGCAAAGATCTGTTGGCGCAGGACATCATCTTCCCAGCCCGGGCCGGCCGGCGACGCAACGTAGACGGGCCGTGCGAACAGCGAGTCACGTGGGCGCAGAAGTGCCACCCTAGCAATACATAAGCTCTCATTCATGAGATGGATTGCATGCTTACCTTTGTCCCGCGCGTCGTCCTCCGAGACATGCGGGAGATCCCAATCCGACGGCTTCCTGCGGTCGTCGCAGCGGCGGCACGCTCGCTGTTATCGACGAACGTGAGGTAGCACGTCGTGTTCGGTCTCCCTTGTATGGGTTACGCGGGTGCTCGTTCACCTTGAAGAGGGGAGGAGTGGACTCGGGGCGGTTAGCCACTGGGACCCACTCCCCAGGCGCATTCAAGATTGTGCTTGCAGGGATCCCAAGGGATATGCAGCAGAAGTGCTAGATGTGGTTAGTACTGCATCCCAGAATGAAGAATGGATCACTTACTATATCCAATTGCCTTCAGAACACTCCAGTTCTCCAGGGAAACCTTCGGGGAGGACAGGTTGGTCTTCCTGAGGCTACAGTGCCAAAAAAAGCGCTATCAGAGGCTGTTCACTGCAGAAAAAGAACAGGGATGGCATATCTAGGCACTCACCATGACAGATGCTCGAAAATTCGGGCTGGATGGCAAGAATATGGGGGTGCAGAGGCTGGAGAGTCGAGGAGATGGAGGTCATTCAAGGGAAAACCGCAGAGTCCTGCGTTTGGCACCCGCGTGCCGTTCGGAGGTGCAACTGTCTGGAAATTCCGCACGGTTGCACCTCCGAATGGCACGAGGGGCTTGCCGACCCGCCAAATCGACGGGATTTGAAGACAGATTCAGACTCCATGCGATGCCGAGACACGCGCTTGAGCGGAGTCCAGAATTGTGGCTGAGGGCACTCGAGCGATCCTCCTCGCTCGAGCAGTGTCCCTCAGCTTCGTCGCGTCCAACGACACACATTGAACGTCCCGCAACGAGACGGGAAGGAGTAGGAGGGGTTAAGGGAACAACCAGGTGAGTAATGTAGAGTTTCTGAGTCATAGGAAATGCTTACCTTCGAGTGAAGACCTCGACTTCTGTTGTGAAGTTCACGCCCTCGCACGGCCGGCCCCTACTCCCCCATGCCCCGCTGGCGGTCAGGAGCGGTTGCGGTCGATTCTCCCAGCTCCGGAGAATTGAACACACCCGCTTTTGTCCACACGCCCACACTCACAGCCTTGCAGCTCGCCATCAAAGTCGGCGCGCCTCTCATCGACCACCCCTGCTCTCCCACCTCCACCGCTTCGTCCCGCGCCCGCCGCCCGTGCGCAAGTGACGCAGGCGACTCTCCCAGCATGGGAGAGTCGAGCGTCGCCGGTTCCGCGACAAACGAAGGCCCTCAGAAGGCCCTGGGTGGCGATCTGCGCACCCAGGGCCCTACCCTCCCTGTCAACCTCCACCCGGCCGTCCCGTGCTTGCCGCGCGTGCACCCCAGTTGTGGTAGGCCCTGTGGCAGTATGCTAAGTCTAATGCAGCATTGGAAAGGGCACATCAAATCTACTGCAAGAGTGCAACGTTTCAGGAATGCCATGGATACCAGTGCAGTAAACACAGCAAAAACTCCTTTTCCCCCATTGCCATTGAGTCAAACTACACAGAAACAGATCATAACTGACTTTTCCACTGAGATACAGCCAGCCCATTGTCATGAACTGGGTTGTGCTGTCTGTGGACTGCTGTATCCTCTTTCAAAACTTCTTCCTCTTGACTCTGTGACAAACAGTCTTCATCTGTTGGATGCTGCAGGTCAAGGAGTAACAAGGAAAGAGCGGACAAGTGACAGTGACTCTGTGGAAGAAGTGTCTGGACCAGTTCTAGTGCCCAGTGCTAGACATGTGTACCATACATGCCAATCTGCATTAAAGGAAAATGAGGTCCCAAATCATGCACTCGCAAATGGGCTCTGGATTGGAGAGATTCCAAAGCAGCTACAAAATCTG